TGTTACACGCCATCGCGCTGCAGTGTGCGCGTGTAGTCGTTTAGCGTGTAGTGTGTGCGTGTGGCGTGTGCGTGTAACGCGGCGAGGAGAATTACTTCTTTCTCTGAGTATTTTGTTCATCACGTCATGTTTGAAATATTCAAACACACAAAACAGCTGCCGTCAGATTTCGTGTTTATTCAACTAACATCTCCGCCCAGCAACCAGAGCCGCCGCAGAGCGTTGAGCAACCGAAGCACCTGGTGGAAGGTGCTGGGTCCAGGAGCATGTCCCCGTGAGGGGGGGCCTCCACATGGGGTGGGGGGAGCAGCTCATGGTGCAAATGAAGGCTAAAGGGTTGGAGAGAATCGGTTTGCTGTGTTTATTTCTGTCTGTCACTTATTTCCTTACTTTCTGTTTTCAAGCTTCTTGTAGCTGTTAAGTGTCTCTTTGTGGTTGTTTAGTGTGTCCTTGTTGCTACTTTGTGTCTCTTTGTGGTTGTTTAGTGTGTCCTTGTTGCTACTTTGTGTCTCTTTGTGGTTGTTTAGTGTGTCTTTGTTGCTACTTTGTCTCTTTGGTCGTTTAGTGTGTCCTTGTTGCTACTTTGTCTCTTTGTGGTCGTTTAGTGTGTCCTTGTTGCTACTTTGTCTCTTTGTGGTCGTTTAGTGTGTCCTTGTTGCTACTTTGTCTCTTTGGTCGTTTAGTGTGTCCTTGTTGCTACTTTTGTGTCTCTTTGTGGTCGTTTAGTGTGTCCTTGTTGCTAATTTGTGTCTCTTTGTGGTCGTTTAGTGTGTCCTTGTTCTACTTTGTCTCTTTGGTCGTTTAGTGTGTCCTTGTTGCTACTTTGTGTCTCTTTGTGGTCGTTTAGTGTGTCCTTGTTGCTACTTTGTGTCTCTTTGTGGTCGTTTAGTGTGTCCTTGTTGCTACTTTGTGTCTCTTTGTGGTCGTTTAGTGTGTCCTTGTTGCTACTTTGTGTCTCTTTGTGGTCATTTTATCTCTATTGGTGGTCATAGTGTGTCTCTTTTGGCTGCTTTGTGTCTCATCATGTGGCCCGCGGGCCGGAGTTTGGGACCCCTGCTGTAGGTGAAGGCCCGTCGGGCCCCTGAGCCTGTGCCGGTCGTCCCGTTCACAGATCCTTCCAGAAGCGAGGGTGCGGTAACATGCGGGAGACGCGTGTGTCCGGAGAGGTCCGGACTGCAGATCCTCACACAGCTGATCCACGTTTGCTGCTGACCTTTTAGAACGTCAGAATGGGGCCCTCAGGGGCCCCGGTAGGATTGTCAGCTGATACATAAGCCGATGTAATAAGGACAAATGGGAGCAGGTTCCAGCAAGCAGATACTTCTCTGATCCATCGGGCTGAAAGGTGAGCACAGAATGAATCGCTATTACAAATAATCTGCACCTCTCATATTGCTTTGACTTTAAGCAAAAGGGAAAATATCCGTCTGCCCAACCGTTTTGTCACTTGTCCTCGGCCTTAGAAACTATTTTAAAAATGTCAAACAGGCTTTGCAATTCATCTCCGTTAAATGACCCCATTTCATCTGTGAAATGTGCGAACGTCCAACCCTGAGCAGCATGTGGATCATGGCTGAAATAAAACAGGATGACCTTAAAGCGCCGAGAGGAGTTTAGAAAATATAAATCAACGGTGGAAACGTGACCAAAGGGCCATGCAGGCTGTGTGGGTCCATCAGAACCTGAAGTTAGAGCCCCGTCCCAGAAGAACCGCTGGCGCAGACTCTCCTGGAAAGATTCTTTGACATAACATGCACACAAAAGGACGGAGCAGAGCTCTTGGAGAAGGATGCAGCCTTTGAAGGGTCGGTTGGTACACTGAGCACCGCTAAAATAAATAGTTAGATAGATTGACAGTTAAATCAAAGAATAGGAGCAGTGGATGAATGAGAAGAAACTCCACATAAACTTAAGGACTCAATTCAGGAATATGTGCGTTGACGTTCCATCACACCTGGTAAAAGGGCCTCACGTTAAATTATTAACTCATTTAACTTATTTAACTTCTACCAGGTGTGATGTCACGTGGCCCACTAACCAACCACAAGGAAACCGATGCAGGTTCAGATCATTTTCTTTCACTGTGACATTGATGACAGCTCAATGTGAATTTAACGCGTCCGAATGCGATACAGTGAGACAGATGTTGTAATAAACTGTAAGTGGAGAAAAGTGTCTGAAATGAGTCAGCAGCTGGACACACGTTGATGTTTTTTACTTCACCTGTCGAGCCCGTTTGGCTCTTTTCTCTTTGTTTTAAATGTACTGCACTTTAATGAGAGCATAAATATGCTGGTTGGATACAGATCGTGCTTTGAGGCCCTTTGGCCCCGAGTTGTTTTGTTCAGGTTCCACCTCTTTTAATCATTAACAGGATGAAAGATCTGATCTGTCTTTCTGAAGTGTGATTTTTAAAATATAAAACATATATTATATGATTACTGAGGGGTTCTAATAAACACACCGTGTCTTTATTCTCAGGGTGTTAACAACATATTTCAGTAAAAGTTTCTAAACCTCCTTTCGTGCGCAGCACAGCTGGGCACCTCTCCAAAAAGGGCGGTTCCAGTGACGTCTCCAAAATCAGCCCGAATGTTAAACCTGCCACTCTGATAGACGCAGAGAGCGCGAGGGGACCTTCTGATGACGAGCCGGGAATGGAGACGCTCCCGGAGGAATAACGCGCAGGAATACCCGGCGGCCGCGTGCGATGCGCGCTCCTAGTTCCGCTTTTACGCGTCACGGCTTCTGGTTCTTCGCTCCGTCGGCGACCGGGTTCCGCGGCGGAGAGGAAGTCCACCGACAGCCGAGACCCAGGTTTGTGCCATGACGGAACACCTTTTCACTCGTCACGTGTGCGTTCGGAGGCGCGCGGCAGAAGCGTGAAACGCGGCGCGTGTCGGAGGCAGCGGGACCAGGCGGACCAGGCGGTGCCGCTGCCTCCGACAGGTGCTCGCTCCGTGAGGGCTTCAAGTCTGCAGGATCAGCATCCACCTCTCAGGCGGCACTTCATCGGGTCGTTGATGTTGGTGAGATGCAACACGCAGAAGGTTGCATGTGTGGAGCAACTTCATGAAGATCTGTTAACAGCTGAAAAGCTTTTCTTCCTCCACTAATCGGGAGCTTCATGTTAACGTGCTGATGGTCCAGGGGTTTTGTGTGTGATGAAAGACCAAATAAATAGTTGTGGATCCTTAAGTCGTTCCAATCATCCTCAGATGAGCTTAAGATGTTAAATGTCCACATCCATGAACACACAGTAATATTTGTGTGTGAAAACGGACGTTTATTAGACTCATTCGCTTTTATGTGACGGAAGAAAAAAGTGGAGATCTGCAAAATAGAAAACACATTTTTATTTTAGTTTTTGTTGCACACTCAAATTTATCAATATCAAAATAATACTTGTGAAAAAAATGTGATTTGCATTTTATGTGAGGAGCTTTTTAAAGAATAGTAGTAATATATCTGTATATATGTATTTTGCGTGCGGCTAAATGGGGATGACAGTTCCACCCGACGTCTCTCACTTTGTCACTAAATCATCTTTCTCTTGATGTTCATTCAAAGACAGTTATGATCAAACCAGCAAACAGCAGCATGAATTCATCTGACCAGCAGGTTCCAACAATTCATCAAATGTTTCCCCTTTTTGTCTGCGGAACAAAAAGAGCCTTCAGTGTGTTTTTATTTTTATTTTTAAACTGTCACACAAACGTCCTTCGCAGCTTATTACTACATCAGCGTGGCCTTTTCTAAGAGAGCGTCTGCTCGCGACTGTTGCATCTCGTCAACAAAAGGGCCCGTCTCCGGCCGGCTGCTCCACAGCCTTGAATCCGCTCACCGGGCTGCAATCTCACTCTGGCTGCTGGTGTAAATACCAGATTCTTTTTTCCACTGGAGAATAACTGAGGGGGAGTGGAGAGTCGATGTGTGGGGGGGAGGATGGAGGGAAGTCCTGCCGCTACCACAAATAAGAGGCTGGAGTCCAAGCACATCCCCTTCCGTGCTCCGGGTTTCACCCACGTTGAAAAGCATTCCGACCGGCCGGCGCCGGCAAGAAAGAGAAGGGAAAAAAAAAATAAAAAATCCTTGTCAAGGTCACGGCGCTCGACAACTCCAGAATCCCTCCTCCGCTCCAACCACCCGGAGGTACCCGAGCACGCGGTGCAACCTCCACGCCGGCCTGTCCCCCGGAGGCGGTGGAGCACCGGGTGGGTCTGCCCCGAGGAGGTCCCGTGGCGGTGGGACGGGCCCCTGATGCTTCCAGGCCGTGGTCCTGAAGCAGCGTTCCACGGCGCGCGCGTGTGACCTCCGCTTCTCGATGTGGACACGCTGAGCAGAGCTGAAATCAGTGCGCTGCTTTCATACCGTTTCCCTCCGTGCAAACCTTCTCCTCCCTCCGGCCTCACTGCAGAATGTTAGATCCAACTAAACATTCAAGACGTTCATTTCAGCTCTTTATTTGTTATTATGGAAGAAAATGTCAACTCTTCTGAAAATAAATAGCTGAAACTGCCACTGTTCCGCATAACATCCTCCGTACTGCTGCGACATCCTCCGTACTTGTATTGTTACAAATAATCAACGTGACAGTAATTTAACGTTGCTGCTATCTCATACCCGTGAGCAGCCAATTTAACCAAAGGGTTGAGAGGAGACCGCAGAGGAACCTCTGAACGTCACCTCAGGTTGTCAGAGTTTGCACGCGTCTCTTGAATGAAGTCGTTTCTGCATCCCTATTAAAAATATGACCTCTGCTGACGCTGACCCCGGTCCATGTTTAGACCCAACGTGGAACTGTTGCAGCCTCTCAACGCGGGAGCTTCTCCCTGCTGGAGTTGGGCCTGGCTGATGGATTTGCATTGGGGGGGGGGGGTTTCTTTGTTCCGGTATGTGCCGCTGGCTCGAAGCCCCGTTCTTAGGGCACCGTTCTTTTTTTTTTTTTCTACACAAGGAATAAACAGCCTTTCAATATACGAGCTTTCTCCGGTGAGACGTATTAATGTTTCCCTTCATGTTTTTGTCCTGTTCACTCGTGGTATTTCTCTTGCTGCTGGATTCTGCTTTGTCCTCTGCAGCTGTTCAGCGGATGGGTTGAAACCGACGTGTTCAGCAGCTCCCCGAAAAACACATTTTGTGTTTATCTTCCATCATCCAAAGGTGGCCGACCTGAGCGACACTTTGGGTCAGAAACGGCATCAGCAGAGTTTTTTTTCTTTATAGATCCCATTATGAGGAGATGAAAAAGCCTGATATCTTGTCGGGGTTAACGGGGTCTCGGATGGACTCGCTCGGCTCGCTGTTCGTTGTTGTTGTTCATTTACATCATCACAACAGTGCTGTTTTTTAATATTCTGACTAGACCATGAAATAAATGTACTAAAGTGTACAAAAACACACCCAGTATCTACATGTATTGCATTACACAATTTGATCGTGATACTTTAAGTCGATCAGTGATGCACGACGAGGTGACCAGTCACGTTTCATTGGTCATTTCTTGATTTGGACCTTGTTTTAAATAGAAACCTCAGTATGGAAAATAAAATGTCCGAACATGGATTGCAAAGATGCTTAAACTGTTTTTTTTTAGTGTCTAAATCGCATTTGTATCTCAAGGGAGCTTAGAGTAAAAGAAATGGTATTTCATGGTAGTTTAATAGTGATCGTTGCACTCGGGAGGATCGGGGCCTTTAGACTGTGGCTGTCGCGTTGCTTCCAGCTGGTCTGTTCACCGACCGATCGCCATCGGCTCCGTAAATAAACGTACCAAAGGTGTCGTCTACGTCCGTAAACTATCACGGGTTCGTTCCTGCAGCTGGAAACAACATATTTTGGAGACGAAGCAGCAGCTGTGTAGTTTTGTTCAATGTGACACGTGAACGGATCAGTGGAATGAAAGACCGAGTTGCATTAAGACCGTGCCCTTTGACCCCGGCCCGGCCGCTGGTTTGTCATGGACGGCTGCCATGAGCGCCGCGCTGTCCAAAGCTCAAACTTCGGCCAAACCTTCTGACAAACCACTTTTTCAGGGACGCAGTCGGCGGGTAAAAGCCGAAGGGTCGAGCCGCGCAGCAGAAGCAGGTGAGGCGTTTAAATCTCTCTGATTCTGATTTGTTGTGCTGTTTGTTTTAACGTTGGCATCTGAAATGTTTGTTTCGGGCTGTTGATCACAAATCCAGACCTTCGGTTTAAGGTGTTTAATCTGAGCGAGTTCAGGCAGTTAGTTTTACCATAATTATCTCCGTTTAATTTAAGACCAGTCGGTGGAATACACCCCCCCCCCCCCCCCCTCAGTTAAGTTGCACCATTTATAAACCTTGATTTTGTTGGTTCAGCTCTTAAAGTTCATCTTTCATGGTCACAATAACATTTTCATTTGGCTAATCGGTGGGTTTATAGACATCGTTCCCCACACGTCCCCCCCGACCACTGTAGACGCACCATATTCCTGCGTGAAGGGCTGCAGGGGTCATTTCACGCCTTAGGGCGGGGCCCTACTGTGATTGACAGGTCGAGCCGGCGTCCCCGTGTCCCTCCTCTACGTTGACGGCTGTTTTGTCGCCCGCGCTGCGACACACGTGACGTGGGCGAAGGCGCCCGAACTCGAGACTTCAAGCAGTCCACAAACCGACGAGGGACGTCGCCATGGCAACCGCCACGTCTTGCACGCGCCCCGTGGCCACGATCCCCCTTAAATATGAGTAACGAGAAGCTTACAGTTAAAACAGGAACAGTTTCACTTCCTGTTTTAACGAGTCATCTTCAAGACGTCTGTGTTGGAGAGACAACTTATCCACGTGTTATTGGAAACGCAAACATGGTAGCTGCATCTCGACTGAGGGGGGTGGGGGGCGGGGTCGAGGGGGGGTCGGGGGCCTCGGACCTCAAACTTCAACCACACGGCTTGAAAAGGATCAAAACTAACAGAGCGGCGTTGAAATGTGCCAACTGTGAAATGTTCCACCATGTTTACAGTACAAGCTGTGATGTTTAATATCAACACATGACGGACGACTGACACGTCTAAAAGTATCTGCTGTCCCTGTGAGTGGCGGACGCGAGGACGTGTGGCCTTTGTCCCGTAAAAGGAGGTTAAACTCGCCTCCCAGGAGGGTTTGCGGGAGCTTTTCCATTTCTAAACGGGACTAAAGAGGACATTTTTAGACGCATGTATCGAAGCCAGTAGATGGGTGGATTGGTTAGTGGAGGCCGCTCTGACCTGACATGTGTGATGCACATGTTGACTGTTGATGTGGTCGACCTCGCCACTGTTTGGCACGCTGCCTCCTTTCAGAACGACGCCGTCTGAGCCAGTGAGGTAACGCTTATCAGCAGCCGTTACTTAAGGTTTGCGTTTATCTTTTCTTCATGTAAGACGGATCTGCTACTTTTGTGGAGCCGCTTCAATTTGAATGTCACAATTTAAAGTGTCGTTGTCAACTTGGACTTCATAAAGATGGACTTGTGCATTTTATTTTTCTGCATTATGGTAAAAGCAGGCAGCGACCTTTGGTTCTGGTGACCGGGGGGGTCATCAGTTGTTGTTGTTGTTGTAAACACAACTTCATGGTCTCAGTCTCTTGTTTCAAGTCTTCATCAGCATGATGTTCATTTATTGAACCACACTCTATTTGGATTCAAACGCAGCGTCTGTTTTAGGGCGGGGCTTACTGTGACTGACAGGTCTCTCACAGAGTAGTAAACTGTGTCTCTACCTCATCTCACCCCTACTGACTGGATGCATTAAACCAAGATGGCAGCGGCCCAAAAGGGCAAAATTGAGGCTTAAAAACCATCAAGAAAAGGCAAAATTTCACGATGTCTCAAAGTCAATGGTCCTTGTGCAAGAACACCTTTTGTGTTGCTCGTCTAAATCGCGCTCTCTCTTTTTGTACAAGAGGTTCAAGTTGGTTTCATTATACCTTTTGTAAATGCTCTAATTTCCTAAATTGCTCATATCAGCTTAAAAAAACCCATCTATGAAAAAGTGTCCGTTCATGATATCGGGGAGGTGGTCAAGGATAACTGGCAGTCATGGACACTTTCTGCTTCCTAGTGTGCTTTAATGTGTAACTGCATTGAAACAATCATCTAATGAAGTTGGGTTTCAGGTTGGATTGTAGATGGTGTAAAACACCACCCAAAGCACCGTCTCCAGCCTTCTGTGGGCCAGAAGCAACAAACCAAATTACATTCGGCCCCCGGTTCTTTCTGTTTAAATTCAGGTGAAGTTCCCAGAAACCTTCCTGGAATAGCTCCTCCGGAGGAAAACGGTCAATAAATGTGTTTTGTTAAAGGTCCTTTCCCTCGGTTGACCCTCGGACTCTGATGCACTCGGCAAAGAAAACATCCCATTATCTGTGTTCACTCCCGACGAGCAGAGCCCGACTGAGTCGGCGGCGGTTGATGTTGTTGGAAAAGATGAGACCAGCCGTAGAAAGGATTTGCCTCGATACGCCTGATCTGTGTAAAGAAGCCGTCCGTAACGACACAGATCTCTCGCTCATCACCAACGTGAAGTTCAGAGGGATTTGTTAAAGTCTGCCGCCACTCCAACAGGATCTCACGTGTTCAGTGTTTATGCCTCAGATTTCCAACACGACTCCAAATGTCGAATGAATCCAATCCAACGGCTGCAAAAACACTTTAATAGTTCAATTATACAGATATTATCTTTATGGCTTTCAAGCCTTTATTCTCCATTTCATTTCAAGCAGCAATGTTTTTAATTATTGTGGTCCCCCCCCCCTCTACCACAGGCCTTGTCTTCACTAGAACATGCACTGAGGAACCAGCGCCCCCCCCAAGTCCACCGTCCCTCTGAAGAGCAGATCTGAGATGGCCTCCTCCCCGAGGCTGGACGCTAACCCGTTACCGCTGCTTCAGCTCCAGGAGGTGGACTCCAGCAAGTCCTCGGAGCGGCCCGGCTCCCGCGGACTCCCGCCCGCCGTGTACAGCCCCCCCCTGGGCATGGACGGCCAAACCGTCTGCATCCCCTCCCCGTACACGGACAGCGGCCACGAGTACAACCACGGCCACGGCCCTCTGAACTTCTACAACCCGGCCGTGCTGAGCTACGCCCGGCCGCCCGCCACCGACAGCCCGTCCTCTCTGTGCCCCCCCCTCAGCCCGTCGGCCTTCTGGCCCTCCAACGGCCACCCCAACATGCCCTCAATGACTCTGCGCTGCCCTCAGCCCCTCCTCTACAGTGAACCCAGCCCACACGCACCATGGCTGGAGGCCAAACCCCACGGCCTGGCCGGCAGGTAGGAGACACGCGTCCATTGGACGGACAAAGTATTGTAACCACTGCAAATGGAAATAAATGGTTCGGTTAGTGCCAGGCGGTCAGTCTGAGGGGAAAATGGTCAGAAATTGAAAAACGTTCCACCATTACATTCCTCTAAATGGAACTCCAGGAGCCGGGAGGCCGGGAGTCCTTCGGCTGTCATAGAACACATTTTGAAGCAAATAACGTGTGGCTGTTTGCTTGGATGGGAGTAGCCGCTCTAAGCGAGTGTCGAAGGCTACAATCTGCACCTACTTCTGCTCCTGTGTGCTTTTGGACAGCGGCTGAGGAATTGCTCAACTTCCGCAGTGTTTTTAACCTGTTTAACCTGCTGAGCCCCAATAAAGCGGCAAACAACACTTTGCTGTGTAGAGATATAGGGCGCTAATGTCTCCATGAGCAGAGAATGAAGTATTTTCCCCTCTGTGTGTCGTTACCAGACCCCCCCCCCCCCTTTGCTTTGTTGACATAGCCGGGCCGACAGCGCATGCTTTTAGTGCACGTGAGCGCGTCCCACCGGCCGCCGCTCCCCGGTTCCCCCTCAGGTCAAATAAACCGTTGGCTCTGTCGGACCTCTCGGTGTAGTTAGCGCTGTTAGCTGGTAGCTGCCCGTCGCCATGGTGAGAGGCAGAGGAAATGCTTCCAATCTCACAGCAACACAAAGTCTCAGTAGTCATAACACACAGAGGGAAGTGAACGATGGTACGTGAACGTCAAACACAGGGTTAGAAATACCTAAATCATCAGCCTTTACACAGTACCACTCAAACTCTCTCATTGAATTGAATGAGAAAACTGTGTAAATCTGGAACAGAACATCAATCCAACCACAAAACGGGCTTCGTGGCGTGCTCTGCTTTGGTCGGCCACTTCTCGCATATAACAGTTATGTGGCTGGATTTTTTGAAAGAGCTGAATGAAGAATAGTCGAGTTAAAGCAACAGTTGAATATTTCTGTCCTGTTGTCCTGGATTTTGGAGTTAACTTTAGTTGGTACGGCTGTGATGACCCCAGGGAGCTAAGACGACCATCGGATGATAAGAAAGGCTGCACGCAGACACAAATTGGGAAATGGTTGGACTGTATATAAGTGGACGTACCCATCTCAATGACACCCATTGGTTTATGGAAGCCTCGAGTTTGTCTGTTCCGCCGCCGCCATCTTGGAATACGTTTGTTTGCAGCTGAACAGAAGTTTCTATGTTTGTAGCAGTAGCAGCTGATTTAGGATTTGTACTTTTATACTCAGTCATTGTCAGTTCCACCGCATTACGATGACAATCATAATCCCAGTTGCCATGGATGATGGATATTTAAGCACCCATCATTTTCAGTGATGAAAACTGAGCCGTTTCCCGATGCAATTTCTTCGTCAAAGTTGAATTTCTGCAGGAGTCTAATGACGGGGGATGATATAAATTTCAAAATGTCAAGTTGTCCTTTTATTTCACACATCGCCTGTGTCTTCCTGCAGCTCCATCATCAGCTGTAACAAGGCGCTGGGGAAGAGATCCAGGGAAGGAGCGGAAGGCGCGAACTCCTCCTTGTGTTCATCCGCGTCGGGCAAAGCCGACATGCACTTCTGCGCCGTGTGCCACGACTACGCCTCGGGCTACCACTACGGCGTGTGGTCCTGCGAGGGCTGCAAGGCCTTCTTCAAGAGGAGCATCCAAGGTATCGAGTCCTGTCCCGCACGTGATGGTTCCTCATCAGACCTCGCTCCTCGTGGGGTAACTCCACGACATGTCTCTCCTTTCCCTGTTAGGACACAACGACTACATCTGCCCCGCCACCAACCAATGCACCATCGACAAGAACCGACGCAAAAGCTGCCAGGCCTGCCGCCTGCGCAAATGCTACGAAGTGGGCATGATGAAGTGCGGTAGGTGCTGTTATTTGATGTTTTGCCATCTTTAAAAGCCTGAAAGTGAAAAGGTATAATTCACTAAATGAGCATCATGCTGCGCTGAAGAACACTAGAGATTGAGACCACAAACTCATGTTTGCAATGTTTACTGAGCAATAAATCAGAAGTCATTTTCTTGTTGACGTCCATGGGACCAGAAGAGTCGCCCCCTGCTGGTCATTACAGAGAATGCAGCTTTAATACGTGAAGCTTTTGAGGTGGTCACCCACGCATGCAACAGCGCCCTCTTATTTCTCCTCTGTCGTAACGCACCAGGTGTACGACGCGAGCGTTGCAGCTACCGAGGGGCCCGACACCGCCGCGGTGGACTCCCGCCTCGGGACCCCTCCGGCAGGGGTTTGGTCCGGGCGGGGCCGGGCGCCCGGGCCCAGCGGCACCTTCACCTGGAGGCCCCGCTCGGCACGCTCAGCCCGCTGCCCCAGGCGCACCACGGCCACCACGCCCACCACTCGGCCATGAGCCCGGAGGAGTTCATCTCCCGCATCATGGAGGCCGAGCCTCCGGAGATCTACCTCATGGAGGACCTGAAGAAGCCCTTCACCCAGGCCAGCATGATGATGTCCCTCACCAACCTGGCCGACAAGGAGCTGGTGCTCATGATCAGCTGGGCCAAAAAGATCCCGGGTAAGCCCCGAATGCCGGCTTGATATGGCAAAGCAGGACAGAGCCTTTGTCCCAAAGACTGGAGGCTTTCTGTGCGGCCTTTGACAAGGTCAAAGGTCAGGTTAAACCTTCGGGTTCATTAGCTTAGCTGGACTCTCGGTCAGTGGAGGCAGCTTCTGTGCCCATCAACAGAGTCTGAGGGTGACGGAGGTGAAAACACGTCCTTCGCTCGTCGCTCGCGTCGGTCCTCCGAATGCTGCGGTCGGATCAACGCAGACGTGGCCGCGGCTTCGCGGGTAAACCGATATCTTCATAATGGAGCAGCGTGGAGTCTAAAATGAGGGAATTTCCTCCTGTCTTGTTTCTCTGTCTCGGCTTTCCTTTTTTTACTTTCCTTTCTTCTCTCGTCTCCTTTCCTCCCCCCCCTCCCTCCCTCCCTCCCTCCCCCCTCTCAGCCAGTGTTCAGCCCAGCAGGTAACTCCCGCGGTAAGGTGTTAATGTGAAGGGATCACAAAGGCTCTCCGTTGTTGGGTGTCTTTTCTTCGATAAGGACCATATTCCCACTTTTCCCTTCCTGTAGACAGAAGTGAGGAGGACGCTGCTTTGTCGTCTCTCATAAAGCGCGAGATGCACAGACGCCGTAGAGCTAAATACAACCATGTGACTTTGTTTGAATGTGTAAGTGATAAACTCATTTTAAATAACCGATCAAGGGGACGCTGTCTCTCAAACAGTTTCATTCACTCCGATGTAGTTTCACACGTGGTCACCTGTTAGAACACGAGCTTTGTCTCATTCTAAGGTGACTTTGTGACTTTGATGTTTTGCTGCTGTGTTTGTGTGTGTTTGTCTTCAGGCTTCGTAGAGCTGAGCCTAGCGGACCAGATCCACCTGCTCAAGTGCTGCTGGCTGGAGATCCTGATGCTGGGGCTGATCTGGAGGTCGGTGGATCATCCCGGAAAGCTCATCTTCTCTCCGGACTTCAAACTGAACCGGTGAGCGGCTCGGGTGGCGTTCGCACTCTCGGCCGCTCCGTCGGAGCTTTCCGTGGCCGATTCTGGCTGTTTTGTTGTGGTCAAGAAGCCTGCAGAGATGTGCTCCTCACGCGCTTTCCAGTAATGTCTCAGATTAGACGTGCATTAGACGTGCAGGACCACACGCCTTGTGGATTTGTGGCTTAATTTCATGGTGCTGTTAAAGCAAATCAATTTAAGATGTTACAAAGTGAAGTTATTCCTCTGTGCAGGGAGCTGCACCGCTGGGATGGATCACTGATCCGACGTGACATATCGCCTTGCAGAGAACTAAAAATACTTTGCTTTGGCCTTCAATCCATTACAATCTGAGGCCGTGAAACTAGAGAATAAGAAAATACGTTTCCTGCTGGATCAGGTTTCACTTGTGTTTCTCTGTCTTCCCTGAGAAATGGGAGGAGCCTGAGATCCATAATATCTTCTTATAATGTGGAATTATATTTCTCATTTAAAGGGTGTTAATATGTCAGAACTGAACTTCTGCCTCAGATACTTGAACTTGTTCAGCTTCCAGCATCACAACAGTGATGGCGGTTACAGTGTAATCTTTAACCCACATTGTCGCACAAAGGTGAAGAAGCTTCACTAAGACCTTGAAACAGGAAATATATCAGTAACACTTGTGCAGAAATATCTCCTCTCTTCTGGACTGTTGTCTCCTTTCCTTTGCCAAAAGCCTTTTATCTCCCCTTGTTCCTTTTCTCTCTGACCTTCAACTTCAGCCACACTGCGGTTCACCCTTTTGTTTTTCCCGGTAAACACGGCGTAATTACGCCGCCGCCGCTCTACCGCTTCTCCTCGTGGGCCCTGGTGCTCTCGATCTGCTGGTTTTGTCAGCAGGAGTTAATGAAACATTAAAGCCAAGTGTTCTTTGCCGAGTCCAAAGTGCAGCGGAGTGACGGAGCACATTATCGGCCGGGTAACGCAACCACACAAACCGAGTGTGTGTGTGTGTGTGTGTGTGTGTGTGTGGCTGCATTCACTCTGAATGGGACGGCTTTTAATACTTACAAGGACACATTTAGTTTAAGCTAACGTCCCTCAAACGGATGAAAAAAAAAAAGAAAGTAGAGTGAGATTGTGACTCTTTGGGGACGATAGAAAGTCTCTGTTGAGTTTTTAACGTTTGACCTTTCTCTCCTCGTTGCCACGGAGACGGTCACTATAGGCTTAGGTTGGCCTTGATGTGTTTTCACAACACGGCCTGAGGTTCCTCTCGCCGTAAACCTCCCGGAGGCCGAACACACACACACACACACACGGACACACGGACGGACACACAGAGGGTTTGCTCGTTTCTCTCTGGTCGGTCTTTTTCTCCCTCAGACCTTCTCTCTTTTTATCCGTCACCTGCCAATCAGGAAGTGTACGTAGAGGCGTATTTATGTGTGTTTATGCAACCGAAGAACAGAATTTACAATATTTGAAATGCAGAGTACCAATTAAGAGACCTGTCAATCAGCGTGTAGCCCCGCCCTAAAGCATCCCCTGTTTTATGGTCTGTTTGACTCTAAATGAACAATAATTCACTAAATTAACATTTAGACCATAAACTCATGTTTACATTGTTTACTGAGGGAATAAATCCACAGAGAAGTAGATTCATTTTCTCATAGACGTCTATGGGAGCAGAGGAGTCGCCCCCTGCTGGTCACCACACAGAATGCAGCTTAAGGACACTACACCCACTACTTTCATTTAGACTACACATTTATCTCCATGTCTTCGCCCCCCCCCCCCCACCCCCTCCTAGACGTCTATGGGAGCAGAGGAGTCCCCCCCCTGCTGGTCGCTACCGAGAAATAAAGTCATTTCCTCATAAACGTGTATGGGAGCAGAGTATTCGCCCCCCTGCTGGTCACTACCGAGAAGTCGAGTCATTTTCTCATATACCTCTATGGGGAGCAGAGGAATAGCCTCCTGCTGGTCTCTACACAGAAGTGGAGTCCTTTCCTTGTAGACGTCTATGAGAATAGAGGAGTCGGCCCCCAGCTGGTCTCTACACAGAAGGAGAGTCTTATTCTCCTACACCTCTATGGGAGAAGAAGATTCTCCCCCTGCTGACCACCACTCTGAAGTAGAGTCTATCCTTCGTTACGGGTTATCGTAGCAGAAGAGTCTTCTCTCTGGCGGTCTCCCACGGACGAGTAAAGTGCGTTACTTAATAAAACCGGTAGAGGAAGCAGAGTAATTCTCTCTCGGCTCTCCCACCTAGTTCGCAAAGTCGGAGCCAAGAACAACCGGTGACTGGCCAGGGCACCAAATAATAAGGGTATTGACGCGTCCACCACTACAAAGAAGAAGGAGATTAACACGACATGCTGTGTTCAGTTGTATAGTGAGCACCGCTGGTGCCCCCCCATGGTCACTGAAACTTCGTTTCTCTGTTTCCTCTCTATTAGAGAAAGAAATGTAGGCCTCTCCTTGTC